TTGGCTAGCAGCGAGGAATGAGACAGTTGGCAGCAGAAAGTATGTAGAATCTCTCGTACGTCTCTGCTCTCGAATACCCAATAGCTCTCCCCGTCGTCATCCACCTGGTTCCAGAAACGCAGACCAACAAGGGTACGTCCAGCAACGTTCTTTACACACCTTAGTCGGTTGTCAGAGAACGAGCCTCGCGAAAGCTTACTCTACAATTCCAGAAGTCCATTGCAAGTAAGACAACTACCACTACCGTCTACGCGCAAACGATGAGGAACGAGGCATTCAAAAGGTCTGCCACTTACAGAGAGGACATAATTGTTTGTCAACAGTCCACATAAAATGTACACGGCGATGGCGGATGTCCTGAAGAAATAGAGGCAAAACAAAGCTGCAGGATGTGCAGACTGAGTGCAATTGAGAATCAGTCTGACGAGTCAACAAGTTGCTTTGGATTCAGACCTGTCTCAATATACCAGCAATGCCTGTGGGTCGTTGTTAAAGAGAATTAAAACAACATATTATGGACGTGCAAACCTGATTCTGCATCGGCTGGAGCAGAGGCCAGGTTATTAGGTGTCAATACTACCGCAGGTCGAGTATTGGACGCAGTGTTTCTAGATGGAGCCTGCGCCACCGAAGGATCATCAGGTTCAATTGTCTGTAACAATGATGAGTTCGTGCTCATTGTTGGTGAAGCTCAAGAGGCGTGGTCTGACGATCTACGATTCTACATGATCATGTCCCTGACGGTACTAGGGTATGGTTGTGTTTGTTCACAACAGCGTGTTCAGTTACCGGCACCATTAGTACTAGTAATCATGAACGAAACACTGCAGGCCAACGAAGCTACTCCTCTGCTATCAGTGTCACCTGGCTTCACGGAGCGTCCCGCTATACTTCCTGTGGTGCGTCGGTACCGGTTGGGAGGCTCGAATGCCGATGATACCCTGGCTTCGCAATATAGGTTTCCATCTGAAGCAGAACGGATTGCATTTTTGTTGCTCGTCCAACTACATTATAATGAATCACAGTACAATGTCTTGAACGACTCTTCAGATATCTGGGAAAAATGGCAACATGCCAGAGCCGCCTCAGTTGCCGCTGAGGACATCGGACGACGTACTAGTGAAACATTGAACCAATTCCTCCTAAATCACAGTAGTTCTTCTGCCATCCAAACTATATTTTGGACAGCCTTCCCGCTGGAAGATACGGGGCATACAACTACAAGAGGTGAGCGCAATATCTCGAATGATTGATTCACAATTCATGGTTGAGCAGTAATTGATATGTTGGCGGAGGACCATATTCCTCCGGAGCTTCTCACACACCCCATCGTAGACGCCGTAGTCATTAAGTGTTGGAAGTATGGGATAAAAGCCGGATCCGCGCAGGATCACGGCTTAAGCTTAATAGAACACTTTGATGCTCTTTCGACACCCAGGTGCGTGGCCGCAGATACGAATCTCGATATGTGGTCCTCACACCATTTACAGAGTTCTACATTTCATTGACGTTTTGGGCCGACTGGTCTTTATGGGTTCACTTATTCACTACTTGCTATATCCACCACACTTTCATATAACCCTAGGACAAAATGAGCAAGGCACTCGAGAGATGATTCTCACTTTCATGTCTGCTGCATCCCTCGCTCGACAGTGGTCAATCCATACTCTACCAGCTATGCTTGTATTTCCCGCATTCGTCATGACCCTTCCATCTGTCCCTTTACCTGGAAATGTCTCATTCTCTGTGCTTCACATTGCCCTCCTACTCCAGCTGGTTCTTCTTCACCTTCCCAACTCTCCCAGCTTACCCACCGCAATGAAACCCGAGAGCACCATACCGCTCTCTACGTTGCTTTCGCGCGGAGCAACTCGCATCGTCATACCGGTCACCCTCTTTTTCTTTCCGGTCCTATTACTCGCGACATTTCTCGTATCCGCCTCGCTCGTCGACAATCCCCTGTTAGTGCTAACAAATTCTCTGGAAGTAACTCCGATGGATAGTCGATTTTCATTCTTCATCCTCTTCATCACTGTCATTATGCTACTACTGGGTGGACTCGGCGTGACCTTGGCGATGTTCCCAGCCTTGGCATCATCAACCGCCTCAACAAGTAGATGGGATCGCTACTCACGAGAAATCGGGTTGTACGCACGCAGGTCATTTGTGGAAGCCCTTGTCCGGTATGAACCTTATTACTTTCCGGTTCCATTCAACTTGCTCCAACTTGTTGTGCGAGTGCCTTGTATGGTCTTCTCTGGGTTGGGACATCCAGTTACACCGTACATAAAGTCAATGGAGAGAGTGCTATGGAGAGTCATTGTAGGATTAATTGGAGCTGTGATTTCTGGCTTCTGGCTGTGGGGCCTAGCGTGATTGCACTCGTCGATATGCGGTGTCGGGCATTATTAGATCCTGGTATTTGGATTGTACTTCCACAGGCAGACACCGGCGCTACTTAGGTACATAGTCTAGTGTAGTCCATACCATTTATGGGACAATTACTCAAATTGGAAGTGACGCGGTTCAGACGAGAGTCCTCAACTCTCATGTCGAAACGGAAAGCGGAACCCTCCCAACGACTTGCGAAACGACGGAGGGGAGGAGTCCCTACCTTCGGTGCAGAAACCGAGGATGACCGGGTCAATCTCGCATCGTCTCGGAGCCTCTCCACAGCATCTGCCCTTTCCACTCGCTCCGTACCATCCACTGGCCCGATACCTAACCTTTCCGCATTATGCGCGCGCTCCTTTGTCGCAAATCTGCGGGCACTACACGAAACTCGTGATGATTGGGAAATCACGCTCAAGTGGCTGAAACTCATGCCTGACAATCTGGTACCTAAACTGTTCGCTATGCTGAGATCCTCCTGTCCACAAATACTTACCAACGCAATGATAACTTCCGTATGCATATTCGTTGCTCCCCGATATGTTGCTCATATTCTGTTAGTATTTTCTACGAGGCCCGTCGATCGTACTGACCAGTGATGTCCCAGCAGTAAACAAAATCACAATTTTGGCTGTTGCTGGAGCTGGCAAATCACTGCATGAGTTACACCTTACGGGATTCGTTAAATTTGCCGATTCTGTCTTTGCAACTATCCTGCCTTCCATGCCATCCCTCAGAGTATTGGTTCTTCGGTGAGTGTAATTGATGACTATGGTTGAGAGGCCCTGATTCTCTGCAGCGGTTGCGCCAAAGTGGGGTCCGCCACTGCGGAAGCTGCTGCAAGGTCTTGCCCCTTGCTTTCTACCGCGAACTTTAATTACACTGCTGTTCCGCCCGTGGCACTTGTCCCACTCCTGAAAAATTGTCCTGACCTGAAGGTGCTAAAGCTTGCTGGAATACCGAACTGGGTGAGTAGCTTGAGCTTTCTTTCGACAATTGACTTATCGCAGCCTAGACCGATGCAACCTTCGCCAAATTATCTTCTGCTGTATTTCAAGACGAGAGTTTCATACCGACGAGTATACAAACATTGAAACTACGTCAATTGAGCCTTTCAGAAAGTTCAATTAATTTCTTTTTGGCCCGCTGTCCGAACCTCACCCGGCTGGACCTCTCCTTCACGCACGTCCACCGACCACTGCCGGTCGTATTAGCAGAGGCGAGAATTGAAAAGCTGTCCTTGACATCAACTGCGATTTCCAGCGTTGATGTTGTGGCGCTCATCTCTAGCCTCCCCCACATCAAATCCCTGGCTCTCGGGACCCTTGGAGGTGGGCAGGGGTCTTCGGTAGCTATTGGGAACACCTCTGCGATGACGATGACGGACCAGACGCTGGAGTCATTGACAGATGTGTTGAAGGACTTTGGGCAACTCGAAAAGATCAGTTTGGTCGGAAATACAAAATTAGGGGCTACCTCGCGTCATAGTGGAACCCTGGAGTACTTTATTCAATGCGTTGGAAGGAAGTGCAAGGTTGGTTCCATGGTTTTTTTTTTGAGCTATGTCATGTCTGAGTTCTGTATCAGTATCTCAACTTGTCAGGTGTGCATCACTTACAGTCCCTTCATCTTTCTGGGCTCTTGCCGCAAGATGCCGAAAATCAACCACCCAGACTTGAACAGCTCATTCTCAACAACACCGGTGTGGATGATGACGCCGTGCCTTATTTGGAGTGTTGCTCAAATCTTGTGGTGCTGGAACTAGCGGGTACAAAAATAAGCAGTAAGTGAATGTGTTATCTTGGGGTTTTGACTTGTGCTTGAAGTGTTACAGGTGCTGGTCTCTTTTCTGTCATTGACACCTGCCCTAAATTACAAACGTTGAACCTCACGAGCTGTAGAAGCGTAAGTGTAACTGATAGACGTCATTTTTTCGAGGTGCGTGTAGCTGGAATAAGAACTACATGATTGGCAGTATTAATATCAAACATATATAGGCGTGGAAGCACAACTCGGAGGAAACTTGATGTTTTCCAGCGGGGAGGAGTTCACCCACCACTAGTGGGAGTCAGACGGTTTATTTCCGCGGAACCAACCATTCCGTCCTTCCGTATGTCATACACTCGATGCTTCAGTCCTTACAATGAGTGAGAGCAGAATTTAGGAGGGCGCATTGTCATTGGTGATTGTTACATAATTTCCATAGATAGTATGGATTTATTTACATCCTTTTGTCTCCTATGTTCTTTTGTGTACGTGTTGTTTGGTTAGCTCTAGCTTGTATTCTTTGTTAAGTATATCGCCCAGCCTGAGGATGCTGTGATATCAACTACTATTACAGTGTTAGCGCCCTTCATCCATTTGTTTCTCTTTTGCCTAGTCTTCTAATCCTAACGCTCGTTACCGCTCGACATTCATTCATGTTTCACTATTCTGGACGTCTTGCTGGACTTGACGAAATGGTCTTGAAGATCAGCGCTCCTTCTACGGTATCAACATGTACCCTCGACGGTGAGCCGTACCTTAAGGTTAGGAAAGTCAAAAAGCGCAAGGCTGAGCGGGCATCTCGTCCACCCCTTGCGGACAAGACACTACTGGCGGTGAATCATGCTGTATGTAATAAAAAACCTGCTCGCGGGCTGGCCTATTAATATCACTGAATAGTCAATCCAGCTGCCCCACGCTCCCTCAAAGATACAGTGTAAATCATTGGAAAAGCCTGTCGCTGTTGAGAAGCCCCCCGAGGAGCAACAGAACATTGTTCCTCCTAACCAACCCGTTACTCGCGTCAACCGCTCACGGCGCAATATTGAGTCATTTCGCCCCCTTCCTCCTCTGTCATCTGCATCCACACTGCAGCTACCTTCCTTTCTCAATTTTTCAACCACACATTCGTTAACATCTCCTTCGCCTGCAAGTCAGTGTCGTAACGAGTCTTCCCACTCCCTCCCAGCCAATATCTTGTTCCGCCATTCATCTAGCCACATCTCATCCACCCGACGAGTGGTTGTTCGTAAAACTAAGAACACAAAGGTGTATGAAGGACCCCATTGGATTCCCGCCTTCCACCATCCGAATAGTCCTTATATTCCATGGTCACCTGCCGTACGGCATCGCATTCTTCCTCCATTGATACCGGAATCACCCATCTCACCTCTTTACTCACGTAGTGGAGCTGTCGCACCAGAGCCATGGGGCTCGCATTCTACCACAGAAACACAGACGAATGTGGAGAAGGGTTCCAGTTCGTGGAAGAGCTTCAAGAAATCGGTCAAGAGTGGCCTAAAGAGTGTCAAGAGCGTTGTCTCGCGCATTGGCAAGGTTCCGAAACTCTCCCGCGGGCGTTCAGATAAAAAGATGATAAATCGCAGCGACGACCCGGTCCCATCTGCCAGTGACTACATGATGTTTGCGAAGAACTCATCCCCACTTTCCCCGGGTTCTCTGACCGAAGATACCCTCGCCACACGAGTTTCGTTCGGTAGTCTTGTATCATCAGATTCTGTTACCCTAGCTGCATGGCTAGCTGAACGACATACGACCTCTAATACTTCATGGGAGTCTCCTGGGATGTCAGTGGAAGAGTATGAGATGATGGGTAGTTGGTTGGACTTGCGCGTCGGAGATGGGGAAAGGGTTTGTGGCGTTCTGGAATGTACTGCCCATACTCCAAACGGAACACCCGACGCGCTTTGCCACGGACTGCGCGATTTCCATTCAGCAGTGCCTTTCGACGCCACAGTTAACGAACATGTCAAAGCACCTGTGCCGAAGAAGACGACATCGCCTGTATCCACGCTGGACCTCAATTCGTGGCCACATCCGGGCCCGTTTTACTCCCTTCCGCGACTGCCATCGCAGGTACTTGTCATGTCCACGAAGGAATTGAAGACCTTGGACGACCCGAACGTTGAACATTTTTTGATGTCCAAAAAATCCCGTGAATTAAGTATGCCTGGTGGATGGGCGTTCACATCATGACTCTAGATTCTTCTGTTGACTGGTGTATTTTGTCACAAAACCTAGCATTGTGGTGTATGTGTACTTGTTCACCCACAAGTGTACTGGATGGCACGCAATTTTATTCTACGGGTTTGTACCTCATTGATAATAATTGTATAGGCATGTATGTATATTTTATACCTGTAGTCACTGTAGTTTTGTTCATAATCTTTATTTCGTCCATCTGCTTCCGACGAAGAACAAGGTAATCACTACGGTGGACATCGCCTTATCCGGAAAAGGAAGGTGTTGAGGATGGTCAAACCACAAACAATGCCGTCGAAGCGTGTGGACACGCTTAAGTTGCGCTGTGGCCGCTTGTACTTCAACGGCAGATTATAAGGACAGAACATAATTAGACGATGAGAATCACATATCACACCCTCCAACATCTTCATTCCGTTCCCCTCCTTGCATCTAACCTCGCTTCCTCATGACCTTAGCACTACAGCAAACATCACAGTCGGAGGCGGACCCAACCTTGCTAGTCTCTCGGATGCCATCTCCGAGTTCAAGCTGCCATGACGAGAAATCAGTAAATGGACTTCCTACATATGCCGCACCATCCATCTTTCCACACGACTACAACGTGCCATCAGGCATAGACCACACCTCGCAGTTCTTCGAAATCCTTACTGCGCCCTACCGTCCTCCAGCTTCCCTGAGTCCTTGGCGGCGTATAACGCCACGTCAAGAAGATGTGGAGAGGTGTGCAGCAATGGTAGACTGGGGCGATACGGACGAGGACTCAACGCCACCAGAGGGGTCCTCTACTTTGCAGCGCGAGTCTTCATTGCACGAAAACTCAGCTAAGGATATCCCAATATATGTGCCACACGGTCCATGTGCATGGGCAGCTCGTGAGGATATCCAACAAACAGAGACATTGTTATCCCTACGACGTGCGTTTCTCGCGGAGCTATTTTTGTTCGTCTTACTCACAATGATTTAGAGGGCTCGATGTGCTCAGCCTATGTACAATCCGGTGTTATTGCCGGACAAAAGATCACTTTTATCAGTCGACGGTGAGCAAATGTCTCAAGTGATCATTATTATTGACTTAACACGACATAGATGGAATCTGGACAAGCAAGCGGATTGGATCGGGTTTAATTCCGAGGTTCGTGCACATAATGCCAATCATTCGTATACTGAACGTCTGTCTTTCAGATGACTCTCTACAGCTCAGAACAATACCTGAAGCCCCTCCAAGGCGTCATCGTTCCTCGCATCATCGGTGTTCACATCCTGCCAGGCGCTATCAGCATTGCTATGGAATTACCTCATCAAAGTTTTTGGATTGAGGCCTCTCCTACCATGCCCGATGTCCTCAAAGAACGTGCTATGCAAGGGCTTGAAATGCTCCATTCGCGAGGTATCCTCCATGGAGATATCGAACTTCGTCACGTTCTTATCGGCGGGGATGGTGCTGTTACATTTATCGATTTCCAACTAAGCCGAAGTACCAACCCCGACGAATCTGTGGGTTTAGAGAAGGCGGAGGACGAAGAATTTCGCTTCGAGAAACGCTTGCTTGCATTCAAGCTTGACCTCCACGGTGCTCGGGCCAGTGAAATTCAGAAGACGGAAGCTTTCGTACAACGTACTAAGCGAAATAAACGGAGAGATGAGCTGTGGAAGCGTCGAGCCCAAGGAGCTCGCACGGGATACATTCCGCCTTATGAAGAGGAGCCTGAGGAGGAAAAGATAGTACCGCCTGTCCACCCCCATGACTTGCAGGACACCTGGATTAAGAATTCAGATTCTCCTCCAGTACGCGTCGTTGTACCTGGACAGAGCAAAAAAGAGGTGGAGACTGCTATTCGGACATTCCTCGAGTCTCTGGCAGAATCCCATCCTGACCAAGCGCTTTCTCGACCACTACTTTCGATTGGGAGCAGTGCAGAAGTGTCTGAAGCGGGACCATCGACGTCATCTATCACGTCGGTACGCGCGATCGACTTTTCTCCGACTGCAGTCCACGAATCGTCACCCTCATTGGCGGGACGAAAGCGTTATAGAGAATCTTGCCCCTCTCCCTCCCCCCACGCCTCTCTTGCTTCATCCGACTCCCCACCTTCAAAACGCGTTCGTCGTGAAACAGAATCCTCGTCGTCTGCTAGTGTCTCCTCCACTGTTCATTCATTGCCAGCAATACCATTCGTCAATCCTCGCGATCATGTACACATGTGGTATTCAGATCTCCCAGACGATGCTGAAGTTCCTCCCCCTCCCGTTCGTGTTAGACCTCTCTCCCTGAGCGCCGCACTTATTCGGCAACAAAACATTGAAGTTTGTCGTGAGGCCGGGCTTCCTCACGCTGAACTGGTCGAGAGGGGCGAGGTTTCACCAATAAACGCGGTTCGTCACCATTTGCTTGCCAAGAAACGTAGAGGTATAGCACGAGGCAATCTACTCCGGGAGCGGGATCGGGACGGATACTCGCCATACGTCCACCATATAGAGAGGTCACATCAACGAGAACGCTATCTTGCCCTGAAGGAGCTGAAGAACGGGTACATAGCGACCTGTGCAAATGTCCCCAACCTGTCAGATATCCCAATGCAAACAGGGGATCGCACATTTTCTGCGTTGCTCCACATGAACGAGCACAAAGATATACCAGAAGGACCCAGGATATTGCAGCGGGGAGAATACGAACTCATACAGGATACCCGCAGACAGGCTATGATACTCACTCCCCACCGAGGGGTACTAAAGCGACGAAGAGAAGATGACCCAGTTCAGAACTTCCTGCCTGCGATGAATTCCCCTAATCCTGCGGTGCCTGTCGCTGATACTGGCAGCACTATTCCTCCGCCTCGCAAGAAAGTGCGCACCAAGGGCCCATCCCGCAAACTAGCACCTGCGCTTATACCCCTGTTCCGCACATCAGATCCTGGGTCATTTGAGAGCAACAAGACAGCAAAGGTCAACCCTCTGCATGACCGTAGTCTGGCTAGGCGTCGTTCACGATCACATCCTGCATCGGGTATCGATTTTACCCCACCATCGTGGCGCGGTCTATCCGTTTGGATGGGATCTTTAATGGGCTGGTCGCAGTGAATTACCTTTGTAACATTCTCGTGGCGTATACATTATTCATACCCTCGGTTTTCGGACTTCGACTTTCTGTGTAATATCTGTTGATTCAAAATTTTAATGCGAAGGAACAATTATATTCCCTTGATGGGTCTCGGGGAGACTAATTCGAATGAGAAAACTTTGCCCCGTAACGAGAAGATCGGACCCAGTGCCGGAACTAATTTTTGAGTGCTGTCAAGTCTACAACTCCAAAAATTGCTCGTGTGACCATACTTTGGTATACACACGCTCAGCACAACCGTCGACATGTAGCTAGTGCCATGGCGTAAATGTCAAAGGGGATTTCTTCGACAGCAATGTTAAGACCACTGGATGGGACTAGATAATTACAACGATTTTCATTGGCTGACTACAAGTAAGTAATTGAAGAGAAATCATGACTCGAGATGCTCGATCGTGGGATAGACCACACGCTCGGGGCCCTCGTATTATGTAAGCCGACTCTCCCCCCATACTGTCGTCAAGTCACGATCAAACTTCAGCGCTTCAGCTTTAAGTGGGACCGTTGCCGTGACAAGTTGAGGCTTATGTGACGACTGTTCATTTATTTTCAAGTCCGTGAGGCTACACCTCGAACACCAGGCATTATCAACAGAGAATCTCTAGTAGCAGTCTGCATCCTTGAGTCTTTTCCGTTCAGGCAGTAAACCATCTAATATTATCCATTTGCAGGCACACCGCTTGGCATAAGTAGCACATGCTTGAAATCTGTCGCGGCGAGTTTATACCCGTAGTAGGCTGTTCGCCTCGAAACCTTTGAGGGGTACCCACAGGAACTGCGCTCGCCCCGATGCCCCAAATTCATCTTACTTTCCTTAAACGTCTGATATCCAGGCTGAGGCTGTAATCAAGCTACGGTACGGCACTGCAAATTCATTGCCAAATGTGACATGTGACAGTTCCGCGGGCGTGATCGCAGCTGTCCAGGCTTGCTCCAAGATGCTGCAAGATCCGCTGCGTGGATCATAATTATAGGCATGTCTCCACGCGCACGGGCCTCCATACTATGTATGTCAACCTGATCCATCGATCTCAGTCGTGCGAACGGCAAATTGCACATGAATTTGAAGAAGGGCCATTTGCCAAGTCTTTGCCACATGTCTCGACCCTGTAAAATCCAATTACCACTAGCTGTAGTAGTAGCAGCTGAAAATAATTGATCAACATCATGAGCAGAATTGGCCGGCAAGAGCAAAATTTCTAGATGGATTTGGTTATCGACAGTCCCAATGGTAGGTTTCCGACTAGCCCATTTACTGGGAAGGAAACTTGATTCGTTTCTGATGGAGATACCGTGGCTGTCTTCAACTATGATGGAGATACAATGTTGTACGTTCATGCTTTTACAGATTGCTATCTTCTACGGATACATAGCAACCACTAACCGACGCCAATGAGCCAGCTGCCTGCCTCTGATTGCACAGCGCTACTCCTGACATACGTGCAATGTAAGGATAGGTTCTAGGCTCCCTCCCTCCGATGCTGTAGATGCTATTATGTGTACAGTATACCCCTTCCAGCAACTTCTGAGCAAATTTACGGTAGGAGGAGCATCGTTGTAACTATACGGTACCTGACCTACCTAATTCCGTTCGGTTAATACTCGGGTATGTCACTTATCGGATGCGTGGCGTTTCAACAGGTCCCATTAATGTCCGTACCGTAAGGAGGTCACTGCCACGGCTCCCCCAGACGCTCATATATCTGTGAGCCGTGGTTGGCTTCAAGTCTTATCTCTTTCCTCCTACCTTCCAGTGAGCGAGCGCTTACCACAATGGGTACCGAAAAGACAGACCCTACTGCTTATCACAATAGCAAAGGCGAATTCTCTGATGTCTCAGATCATGATGGAGAGTCTGTTCAGTCCCCCCCGCGGCACACCCTCCAACGTAAACTCAAGAATCGTCACATTGCTATGATCAGGTGTGTTTCATTTTTCTTCTTTCTTCTGGTGAATTCTCATCTCCGTCAAGTATTGGTGGTGTCATCGGTACTGGTCTTTTTGTTGGGACCGCAAACTCTCTGGCGAATGGAGGCCCCATCGGTTTGTTGCTCGGCTATGTGGTCATGGGCTCCATCGTCTATTCCGTCATGGTCACTTTGGGAGAAATGGTGTGCTTGCCGCACATCCCAGATGCAGATCACATATCTGATATTCATTTCCGTAGATTGCTTTCCTGCCTATACCTGGTGGTCACATCAAACTGGCCGAGCGCTTCGTTGACCCTGCATTCTCTTTTGCAATGGGTTGGAATTATTGGTATAACTGGACGATTGTCTGTATGTCCCATTCTTCCTCGTTCATTTCTCGCAATTACTGACCTCTTACTTTTAAGCACCTGGTACTCGAGTTTAATCTATTTTCTTAGCGCCCCTCCTGACATTTGTCGTCCCAGCCGAGCTATCTGCTGCTGCATTATTGATGAACTATTGGAATCAAACTGTCAACGACTCAGTATGGGTCGTCATGTGTCTTGTCGTCGTTCTCACCATTAATATGCTCGGTGCTGGCGCTTACGGCGAGGCGGAATTCATCTTTGCGTGCGTACCGAGTACTATATCCCGATCTCGTATTCTGATATTACTACAGATCCATCAAGGTCCTCACAATCACCGGTCTTATCATTCTCGGTATAGTCCTCGATTTAGGAGGTGGCCCAGACCACGACCGCATTGGATTCCGTTACTGGAAAAATCCTGGACCGTTTGTTCAGTATAATAACATCGGAGGTGCCAAAGGACGATTCCTTGGCTGGTGGGCTGTCTTGACACAAGCTGCTTTCTCGTTCATTGGAACCGAGATTGTTGCTGTAAGTTATATTCTAGGCTTGTCAATCCACCCCTCACGAATCTCACCTAGATTGCTGCTGGAGAAGCGAAGAATCCTCGTCGTACCTTGCCCAAAGCCATCCGTCGAGTATACATCCGTATATTGCTTTTCTACATCGGTGGAACACTTGTCATCGGTCTGCTTGTACCATCCAACAACCCATATCTTAAATTGAACAGTGGAACTGCCGCGTCTCCATTCGTCCTTGCTATCGAAACAGCCGGAATTAAATCTCTTCCTTCAGTAAGCCGCGCATAGCTTGCTTGTTTTACCTCGAAATTTCTCATCGCTATTCAAAACAGATTATCAATGCTTGTTTGTTGACCTCGGCATGGTCCGCATCATCTAGTGACTTGTACACTTCGTCTCGTGCGATTTGTACGTATACTTACTTGGCAGCCAACTCATCGAAATTAACGCACTTCGTAGATGGTCTTGCAGCTTCAGGAAATGCTCCCAAGATCTTCCTTAAAACTACACGCAGTGGGTTGCCTTACGTTGCTGTCCTTTTCTGCGCCTCTTTCTCCCTTCTTGCCTTCATGGCTGTGTCCAAGGGTGCGGGCACGGTGTTTGACTGGTTTTCCAACATGACAGCCGTCGCTGGCCTTATGACGTGGTTTGGTATTTCGGTGACGTACCTCCGTTTCTACAAGGGCATGCAGGTCCAAGGCATCGACCGTAAGACGCTCCCTTACTACACAAATCTCCAGCCATACGCTGCGTGGTGGGGAGTCGTCTCAACGATCACTGTCTGTTTCGTATGTCAAATTTTCATATCCGCTAATACTGTTTAGACTGACTATTCCTTCACTCTCTAGTTTAGCGGATGGAGCGTGTTCCTCAAAGGGAATTGGAATACTGCAACTTTCGTCACCAACTATATCCTTCTTATTACCTGGCCAATCATGTACTTTGGCGCTCGCTTCTACTATGGCACCAAGCCCGTTGCCGCACAGGACATGGACTTCAAGAGCGATCTAGCTGAGATTGCGGCGGATACATATGACGAACCCCCACCAAAGAACAAGATGGAAGCATTCTGGCAATGGCTGGTAAGTATAGCTACTCCACTTGGGAATTTTTGACATCACTAACCTCACCTCACTCGTAGGTGTAATTGTACTTGCAATAATACTTGGAGCCCATTGATTACCGTCAATTATATCACTTGTTTGTAAGCCTCCAGTTATCCGACATACCTGGTTATTTGTTGTATGTCACTGCCAACTCTACCAATATGATAATATCTAGTCAACTTGATCAAAATCCGATTTTGTCCTTGTAGACAAAGAACAGTGCACCCTATATGTAGTAAACCTTGGTAGAAACGAGTATTTATATGCATACTCGTCTTGATCAAGAATCTAGTTTACCAACAGTGCAGTATTTCAAAATTCTACAGTTTGATCGAAATTGAAATTGAGATGCGAAATCGAACTTGAAGCACGACAAAGCCGTCTATCACAGCAGAATGAGTTTCAAATTTCAGGACTTGTATTGATTTCAGTTAAGTTTGTCTATTTTACCTAGCCATACGAGAGTTAAAAGCGTAATGAGTGAAATACAGTGGGAAGATAATGTTGAGGACGAAAACTGAATGCAACATGCAGGAAACTTAATGACAGTATATATACGTATCAGAGTGCCCATCCAGCGAGCTAGAAACGAATGCGCAGAGGCTGGGTACTAGGCTTTAGGCGCGATGGGGACCTAAGTAAGTGTCTATGCTTTCGCAGAAGGTATATGCAGATTGATGGCTAAGATCCGCTGTCAGCTAAAATGGGAGTTTAGGTATGTGGTCGTATTTACCTCTAAACCAGTTCAAAGCATCAGAAGGTGATGGAGCATCGAAATACAGGATAGCCTTGTTGTCAACCAGGCGCAAAACTAGGGCCGATGACGAAATAAGCAAAACTCCTCCATTTCAAAGATCAACTTACCAGTTCCATGGACGATGCTTGCTGGTTGGGGCAAGGTCTGCATCCGCAGCACCGCCCACAGGTCGACTGCAGACATCGGATCCTTCCCGTCGCTAGGATCCCTGCAGAGAACAAGGAGGTCGTTGCACAGTATTCCGATGAGAGGCCGGGGGTTAAGCTCTGGCGCTAGGCAGTCAACTTGAACAGCAGAGGCGTCCCCCTGAGCATTGAATGTCTCAAATGAAACGACCGTCTTTCGCACCACCCTAGTGAGTAGTAGAGGTCCATCCATGATTAGCCGTCTGATCGAAGCGTCAGAGGATTGGAAGCTAGTGCTTGCGTTCATAGCTCACCGATGTGGTTGTACCAGAGGGCTGGGGAATTTGCCTCGTATTCTTGACTGCCATTGAACAAGTTTTCGTCGAGATTCAGACTCTCGTTTGCCTTCGTTCATGTTATTTGCCAGCGAAGATATTTCTGTCAGGGCTCGATCCAACGAGTCATCCAAAAAGGTATACGATGGTGGAGTGCTCCGTAAAAGCTCTTCCAACTGGACAGACGATCAATTAGTCGTGTCATACACGGACCAGTGCGAACACTTACTAGTAGCCGGTACCGTGGTATTCGTTGAACTGGTAAAAGTAAATAGCCTTCCATGTTGAGTTGTGAATGGCGAGGATTCATGCGGCAACGTTTCAGAAACTGTTTTATTCGTCTCCGTTGTCCAGACGTTAAATGTGCTGCATGACTCGGAGAGGATGGATCAGACATCACGACTGGGACTGAAGGAGACGAGATAGCAAGACCAAGCCCAGCAAGTTGGGTAGTGCTGGAGGAGGGTGTTAGGGTAGAGCCTGGGCTGGTGTTTCCCGCGACAGGCCTGTCTGTCGACCAAAATCTGATGCGCTGGACAGAATTATCAAAGTTGCTGTGCATACTCTGTCAGCAAAGAACGGAGCACGAGATATCCATGTACTTACTTGATATATGTCGAGTACATCCTCATGAAAGCAGCGTATCTCAAGAAGCATCCAGCCACAGCCGTCGCTACCTCCACAGACAATTGACCGTCAGGATCCAACTCTTCACTTCCAGGAGGTTTTTGTAGCAGCGGAGCCGCTGTTTTCCAGCGACGGAAGGAAGCTTCCTTGTGGAATGAAAAGAGCGCTTCGATGCCACTGAAAACGATCTTCCTCTCTGCTGAGGGGATGGTTGTTTCTTTGCCAGAACCGACACCACTGATCAGGTTGACAGGAGCAGCACTAGGCTTGATGTATATGTCAACAAGTTCTTGAAGGCCTTTCACGTACGTCTTCTCCGTCCTTTAAATATCACAGTTAGTACCTCCGCCACAGCCGACAATCAAGTCTCCTTACTCAACAATTTCTCGAACCACAAGTGCACGCTTACTCTTATCATCCTTATACTTCCGCTCTTCTTGAGAACAGTCCGAGGCAGCAACGCTGACCGTCTGTGAAGCCGTCCCACTGCGCAAACTGGACATGGCATCAGGAGACCGTAGCTGCGCAGACATGGATCCTGCTCGAGAAATCGTCGACATCGCGGACGTGTCAGAGTTCGCCCTCTCAATAATCGTCGGCCTGCGCGAGCGCATTCCGCTCGACGAACTCTCTTCCGCTCCGGAATACATGCTGATGGTATTACCACCCTGGGACGTAGATCGCATATCCTTCAAGTACGCCATAACGGAGCGTAAAGCTCGCGTGTATGCCTCTCGGGCTCGTTCCTCCTCTCTCCGAGTAGCAAAATCGACGCTATCCGAGTCTGGGACTGGACTTGATGACATGTGTTCAACCGCGTTATCACCGCCTGATAGGCGTTCCAGAAAGGGTACAGGTGACGACGAAGGAATAG